TTTAATCCTCAGCACCTCTGCAAGCAAAATGCTAACTTCCTTTTGAAGTTAAAGAAACAGAGACTCAGAGATGAAAAATAGCTGAACGGTGACCAGTGGAACTGAGGCCAGAATCCAGGTTGAATCTAAGGAGGGATTTTGTTTTGTTTTGTTTTGAGAGAGTGTCACTCTGTGGCTGAGGCTGGAGTGCAGTGGTGCAATCATAGCTCACTGCAACCTCCACCTACCATGCTCAAGTGATTCTCATGCCTCAGCCTCCTGAGTAGCTCCGATTACAGGCATGTGCCACCATGCCTGGCTAATTTTTTGTTGTTGTAATTTTAGTAGAGATGAGGTTTTGCCATGTTGGCCAGGCTGTTCTCAAACTCCTGACCTCAAGTGTTTCTCCTGCCTCAGCCTCCCAAAGTGCTGGGATTACAGGCATGAGCCACCACCCCGGGCATAAGGAACTTCTTATACCAGTCTCTTCCCCTATGATTGGGGGGCTCCATGCCTCTAGCTGGAATGATGATGTCCTGATCTGGGAGGAGCCCAGGGCTACCCACCTCTAAAATCAGAGGGCAGGAAGCAAGAAACAGGTATAGGGCTACCCTGGAGGGTGCTGAGGTCACCTTCCCTCCAGCTAGAGCTGCCTTTGGCCTGGGACCACCCCTCCCCAGAGGCTGGTGCCCGACTCCCGGCCCATCTTAAATGGGGCAGAGGTTACCGTCTCCTTCACCTCACTCAGCTTCTCCTGCAGCTCCTTTACTTGCTGCTTCAACTGCAGAGCGCTCTTGTTCTCGTTGTTCTGGACAGAGAGAAGCAATTAGTGGCCATCCACAGCAGCTGGAGAACCCTGAACTTGGTGTCTGCCCCCATGTCACCGGGAAGGTGGAGGTAGGTTAGAAAAATCATCCCCTCTCCCACAGCCATCAGAGCAGGGCCTGATGAGCTCTGGCTCACAGGTGCCTTTAGAAGTACCATGTCATGTGAGGGCTACACTGCCCCGTTTTACAGGTGGGGAAACAAAGGCCTGGAGGGCTAGGGATGAGGGCAGGCTGCCCAGGTGGGGCAACCCACCAGATCCTCGAAGCCGCACTGTGGCTCAGCCAGCTGCTTGTCGAGCTTTTGGTTCTGGGAGAGCGCGAGCCTCTCCTGCATTCGCAGCCTCTCCTCCTGCTTTCGTAGCCTCTCCTCCTTCTCCCACAGCCTCTCTTCCTGATCCCACAGCCTCTTCTCCTGCTTTTGCAGCCTCTCCTCTTCCATTCGCAGTCTCTCCTCCTGCTTTCGCAGCCTCTCACCCTGCTCCTCAAGCCTCTCCTTTTGCTCACACAGCCTCTCCTGCTCCCGAAGCCTCCTCTCCTCCTGCTCCCGGAGCCTCTCCTCCTGCTCCCGGAGCCTCTCCTCCTGCTCCTGGAGCCTCTCCTTTTGCTCCTTGTTCAGGAGATTCAAGGCCTGGTTGTTTTCCACCTGGGATTGGAGTTTTTCCACCAAACTCTCCACCTCCTTCCTCAGGTGTTTGGCCTCATCTTGTAGCTGCTCCACGTCAGAGGGCCCTGCTGGGGGCACTGGGGATGGGGGCTGAGCTGAGAAAGGAAGCAGACAATGAGGGCCTCTGGATTCCCCATCCCACCCCTCCCCCCACCAAAAAAAAAAACAAAGCCTCCTCTTGATGCACAGCTCGTCTCAGGCTTCTCAAACTTGGCCTCACTGCTGATGATTCCTCGCACCCAATGGAAGCCAATTTCCCAGCCATGTCAGATAGCACCGTGGGTGGCTGACAACGGGCACTCCTTCCTCTTTGCTGATGGGGACTCTGAGGCTCATGGAGATGACAATACTTACTGACTCCTGGCACAGACCTCTTTCCCTCTGCCTCAAAGCCCTTCCATCTACCCACCTCCCTGGGACATCCTAAGCCACCCCACAGCCCTCTGATGCCAGTTCTGCTCCCAGGTCACACCAGCCCCATCTTACCCATCTGGGGTTTGATTTCGGACAAGCTCCTCTCCAGCTCCTGTATCCGATGTATGTCACGCTTCTTCTCCTCCTTCAATGTGTGA